AGATATAGTGACATCCACGATTGAAAATATATGGCAAACTACATCTATTCCTACAGTAACACGAACAAGAATCATACAAATGTTGAAAGCCTATCATTTAAAATACAAAAATCTACTTAAATCTGTGCAAAGAGTATCTGAAGATAAATTAGAGAGATTTCGGCATAGTGGTAGGTTACTTTTTGATATTTCGGCATGCAAATGCAAAGAATTTATTAAGTGCACCTGCCCAAAGGATAAAAAGGTTCCTAAACAAGAACAAGCCTTCCTAATTGATCAAAGAACCTGTCGACATATGATAATCGGTGGAATCGATCCAATCATCACTAAGAAGTTGCAAAGCACTTTAAAACGGAAACATGAACGAGAGAACCGCCAAAATGTATCTTCGAATACGAGTACATCATCGTTGGCTGTTTTAAATGTTAGTACTTCTTCGGAAACGTCATCAATGTCAGATAGAAGCGAATTCGAAGAAGTTACTCAAAAGAAAAGGAAAAAATCCTCACGCACCGATTTTCCGACGCTCTCGAAGACATGTGACAGGTACGGAGTGTCAGATAGGGCTGCAGCCGCGATTGCATCATCTGTCTTGTTCGACATTGATTCTGATATTGGCGTCATTGACAGGCATAAATTACGTAGACAGAGAACCAAAACAAGAAATAAGTTATTGAATGAGGTGAAAATTTCGGAACTTAATGCTTTATACTTTGACGGGAGGAAAGACAAAACGTTAAAGATCGTTAAAAAGAATGGCAAATGCTACAGGACTTTGACTGTCGAGGAACATATCTCACTAATTCAAGAGCCTGGATCAATTTATCTTGGATACGTGGTAGCTAATGTTGGGACAGCAAAAGGAATAGAAATCTCCATAGCAGAGTTTCTAACACGTGAACAAATACTTCTTCATGAACTTATTGCAATCGGTAGCGATGGCACAAATGTTAATACTGGAAAGAATGGAGGTATAATAAGACTGTTCGAGAGAAAACTACAAAAACCACTCCAGTGGATAGTGTGTTTGCTGCACATGAATGAACTGCCTTTGAGACACTTGTTTCTTCATCTTGATGGGTGTACTTCGGGACCTAAGTCTTTCTCTGGACCTTTAGGAAAAGCACTAGAGACCTGTGAACAACTACCTATTAGAAAATTTCAACCTATTGAAGGAGAAATGCTTCCAGAAATGGCCAAAGATTTGAGTACAGATCAACAGTACTTACATAATATTGTCACAGCGGTTCTTACAGGTATTTTTCCAGAGGATCTGTCAAATAAATCTCCCGGCAAACTTTCACATGCCCGTTGGCTCACACGTGCCAATAGAATATTGCGTTTGTATGTAGCAACCGAAACACCATCAGAGAAACTGCTAACTCTGGCAAAATTTGTTGTTAAAGTTTACGCACCATCTTGGTTCCTTATTAAAAACAAACCCTTCTGCAAGGATGGAACGCGACATCTTTTCTTTATAATTTCTGCCTCCAGATACCTGTCAGAAGATCTTAAAAAGATAATCGATCCTGTCATTCAACGGAATAGCTACTTTGCACATCCGGAGAACACGCTTCTTGCAATGTTAACTGATGCCAAGAAACATATTCGAGAACTGGCAGCCAGGCGTGTATTGAAAGCACGTAGCACGCAGCAAACATCAACAATTAGATTATTTGAGTTGCCTTGCATTAATTTTAATGCTTCTACATACGTTGATTTAATAAATTGGCAGGAAAAAATAACGGAACCCCCTATTTTAAAAATCTTTTCTGACCAAGAAATTTGGCGCGTCGTCGAAACTGGGGATGAGAATCAATTGACCTTTTTGAAGCTTCCGTGTCACACACAAGCTGTAGAACGAGCTGTAAAAGTGACGACAGAGGCAGCCACGTCCCAATGTACGGAAAAGGCACGATTGGGTGCAATAAAAGCCAAACTGGAATCTCGGAATATAATGCCTAAATTTGAGACAAAAAGAAATTTTAAAGGAAAGTAATATATAAATATGTATATATTTTCTTACTATTGTTCTTAAAATGTTACCGTATTTTTAATTGTAGTTCTTCAATAAATATCTTAGATTAATTTTGCAAGTGATTCATCACCCATATATCATTAAACTAAGCTCAATAGTTGGTAAAATGTGTACTAATATTTTTTAGTTAAAATTTAGATTTTGTGGGGTCAGTGCGGAGGCAGAAGATGTTGGAAAAATTAATTGAGAAATTACATATATTTTTACTATAATATACTGCACCAATTGCTCTCTATTACAATTCAATATTTGGAAAAAAAAATTAATCCATACATAAACGCTCCACCCTAGTGTGGAATTCTCCATAGTATTCTGTACAGATCTAAATGAGGTTTCTCGCCAGGTGTTGTCGTTACAATTGCATTAACATCTGTGGAGCTTATAAGGACAAATTCCTGTCTGATGTTGATTAGTACTTTTTTAAAGTCTTCAAAAAACCCCATTAAATTTTTCAGTGGAATAGTTACACTGAAATAACCTTCACTGTTTCGTATTTCGGGTAATTCTTGATGATTCTAGCCTGCATGTTGGTAACTATTACCTTCATTGTTTGTGAAAGATACCAGTCCTTTAATGGTGGTTGTTATACCAGGATTGCGAACTCTATCAACAACTATACCTCCAATTTCATATCGCAATTCATCAAATAAACATGATACAAAATTATTTACGAGGCGTAATGTTGGTGACCATTTCTTCTCCTTTGCCTTTACTAATCTTCCTTCAATGTACAGTGATCTATTACAAGGTAGTGTATCTTGTGTTTGTATTGGTATTCTTATTTCATCTGAATTATTGAAAGTTGTATTAGCGTATGGTGGATGGCTATGCATTTCACAATTGGTAATAGAATTATCCATTAAAATATTTTCTCCTATGTTGAGAAAATTGAAGCTCACCTTTTTTTGTTTGTTTTATCAAACAGCTACACTTGAGATTAACAAACAACTTTTGTAGTTTAGAGTAGAGTGCTAATTTTATGCGTAGTATCAATCCAGCAGTGCAGGTATTGCTGCTGCTATTACTATCACTATTGACCGTTTGTTCTTGATATGCGTCCGCCACACTTATGCAATCACCTTCAAGCCAGCAACTATAGAAATTGTATATTTTCGGATGTTAATCCCTTGCTTCCTTGTTTACTACTAACTGTTTTACCAGCATGAATTTGTTTATTAATAGTTTTTGTTGAACTATTTTGACCTTTATCCTTGTTGTTGTTGTTCTCGCTGATAGCTGAGCTCAACGGTACTACAATATTATAAAGGAATACCATGCTAAAGTTCTCTTAAATGTACTCTTATCGTTATCACTTCTCCTTTAAAATTAACCAAATTTCCGTGGTGATCCACTACTTGAAGCACTATTTCATCAATGTAATGGCTATTTATTGGTAGATAAATGATATTTGATACTTTTTCTATTATGCGAAATCCACTAGCCACGTTAGGGTAGAACATATGCAACGTGTGAACAGCATGATCATTTCTAAAAGAATTCCTTATCAGATTACATTCCACACATATACAGTTCACTTTGGAAACATTTACAGGAAAATCTGAGATGTGTAGTTTATGTGGACTCAATTTTCTCTTACTAAACCCTAATAACCCACCTATTGTACCAGTTTGCTCAAAATCGATGAGTCGGTTACTTTTAATTTCAAACCGTAACGTACTTAAATTATTTCGCATATAAAGTTGTCTGTCAGGCTGTTTATCCTCTTTTAATATTGCATTTGAACTTAGAGATCGTTTTTGTTTTTGTTGTGGTTGTTGTTGTTGTTGTGGGGACATTCTCCTTTTTTTATTTTGTTCACCTACTCGTGGTTTGATTCTCTCTTTAATAAATTCTATAATGTCTGTAATTTCATAACTACCTTCAGGTATTGTTAAAACCTCATCATCAATATGAAACTTATTATTTGTTATATCTATGTTGGGTATTGTGTTGAAAGTTAAAAAATCAATAAGTCCTAAAGCGAACGTTTTCCTATTATCCAGTACGATAGGTGGATAGATTTTAGCTGATAACACATACTCTCTACCAGATAAAGTAAATGTATACATGATATGAACCGATCAATGGTCATAGATGAAATAAACAAGTATTATTATGGTAACCAGTATTTATTCACTTTTGAGAAAACGTAAACACAATTGACCACACTTTACAGTATTAAATCTTTGAAATACATTATAATCGTACTGTATTCGACAGGGTCCACTACAATTAAAATATACAATTGCTTCCAATGGTGGTTCTAAGTTTCCATATGTATCTAGGTAAACCACCAAGTTTCCTTTTTTCTTATATGCAGTCCAGTGAGTACCTGGTCCAGTAGATGTATCCAAATTAATGATTCCTCTTTCATTGATTTTTATTTTTTTGGGAAGCTTATCTCGCATAAATACTCCTCGAAAATACGGTATTTTTAAACGCTTTGCATACTTTTCCAGTTCAAAGTTTGTTAACGGGTGACTATTTGGAATTGAATTTTTTTTAACTACTTGTTTTTTCTTTTTCATTTTCCTTTATCTCACAACTGGTTTCAGTTAGTGTATGGTTTCAGGAAAAGACCCATTCCCGTTTTATAGGGTTTCAAAAACATTATCTTTCCAAGTGCTACAGCTTCCATCAGTTTATTATGATGTTGAGATTCTTGTAATTGCTGCTTCGCAGAGTTTGCATCACTGACAGCCTTAGCAATACCAGCAGCACCGCCAGACAAAGCTCCAAGGGCTGATAAGTCAGCAAAAATTGGAATTAGTGGTAGTACACCTCCTTTTTTCGGTAACTTCACTATACGATTTGGCGGCTTTCTTACACCTTTCTTCAAATTTTGTGCCTCCCTCAATGCTATAAGCATTGCTTCTCCAAAGGTAGTAGGTTTTTGAGCTACGACATGCTTCCCTATTCGTTTAATTGCACTAGAAAAGCTAACCTTCCTTTTCGTACTTGATTTACTTTGTTTTTTTTTCTGTCGCTGTGATCGTTGTTGTTGGTCAATTGTAGCTCTTTTCATAGGTTTAACATTCTTCTTACGTGCGATTTTCATTACTGAGTTTAAATGTCTGGATTACTAGGTACTTATAACTTTAACTTTCTTAGGTATGTTATCATCATCATCATCATGATCATCTGGTTGAATCTTCCGTTTTCGGTTATGTTGGTTCCATGGAGACGGAATTACGTCACTCACATCTAATTTACGTTGTTTTCCTTTACTTCATCAGATTCCCTTTTACGTTTTGTACTGCATTTTTCCTCGGGGATTATAACCGGATCATCCAAATCTATTTTTCTTTTCTTCACTTGTTCAGCATTCAATGAAGTAGTAGTAGTAGTTACTGAATCCAGTTTCCTCTTTTTTGGTTTGTTATTTTGCTCTTCTGTTATATAAGTGTCCATGTATTCAATTGTAGCTTTTGGTTTTTTTCTTCTCTTGATTTTTTCTTTTATGTCCTCTAAATCAGACTTTGGTTTTCGTCCACGCTTAACTTTCGATGTTTCATGTTTTATGTCAGAGTTTTTTTTGCTTTCGCGTTTCTTGATTTCTCTTACTTTTTGTACTTTTCTCTCACTAGATATATTTTTTCCTTATCTTTCAGGTGTATATCTTTTTGGCATGACTGTTCAGTTTGTAGAATTTGTACAGAGTCTTGAACAAGTTTTTGAGACCCCTGTAATTCTTTCGCTAATTTATGTAATTTCTTCAAACAATTGTTTATATTACGTTTTTTGTGCCTTTCATAGGTTTCTTTTAAGCCCATTCCAAGTTTTACTTTAGCTTTCATGGCACCTGCTACAGCTAATGCGGCAGCCTTCTCTTTCCAAGACGAATCACTTGCATGAAACCTATTCATTGCCTGTTGTGCTAGCACCTTATCAGCCAAGTGATGATTACTCAGACCTTTTTCTTTTGAGTAAAATATATCGTGTTGTTTACAAGCTTCATCCAATCCGTTCACACCTGGGTCATTTCTGGCTAACCTTTCATCAAGCTTAGTGCCAGGACCACAGTAATTCTACGTTGGGATGTGTAATTCTACAGGTAAATTATTCATAGCTGTATTGAGTAAGCCTTCACCACCACCATAGTACTTCATAGCACATGAGTGGCAACTGGAATGGTGAGTTTAATCGTGGACGTTACTAGTTATAATACTCCCGTTGCTTAATGATGTTATTGATTGATACGCTGCTAGTGATTAGTGGTGTCCATCAACAAGTAATGCCTTCATATATTTGCGTTTCATGCTGGAAAAATACTTCGTTCACCATACAAGTGACTCCTCAATACACCAACATACGACAAAGAAAAATGCAATATTGTTCGGTTTGTGACCGGTTGACAATTTGGCTGTTAAATGAAGAATAATAACATTCATCTCCCTCCCCTTTCCGTATAGTATAAAAAAGAAAAAATCAGATGAAGGTATCATTCTAAGGAAGAACACCGCCATGAACTGTCTGGATTTAGTTAATTGTTTTAGTGATTCCTTTTTTTACCCTAACAACGTGTTATCAAAATGAACCAGTTATAGTTGCAGATCAGATATTCATCATTGAAGATGGAGTTTTCTATCTGTATGAATTACATAATTATGGAATCACGGAATTAAAGTCGTATCCAGCATTCTATTACTCAGGAAGAGAATTATCCATAGGCACAGAAATTAAAACTCACAACAATCAAACAACTGGATATGTAATTGGGCAAGATCTGAACTATTATCCAGTCACAATGAAGCGAAAAGGCACAATTATGTACTGTGGACAATACAATATAAGGCAGTAGCTACGACAGGGATACGTTATTTTCCAAAGAAAAACATACTCTACCAACAGTTTCATTCGTTTCATTTTTTCCCTCGCACATATGACTATTATCTCATGACATGAAGGATGGTCGTCATCGTCGTCGTCGTCATCGGTCGCAATTAGGCCAGGCTAGGCTAGGCGAGGCTCCTCTCATGCATATGTATCCGTACAAATTTCTTACTACCAAGCTAGGCTAGGCGACACTACTCTCATGCATAATTATATATTACGATTAGACTTTTCTCACTCACTACTTTCTCCATTTCTGCGGGTCACATGGTATTCGGCCTTTTTGGCATACGTCACGTCATGGGGGTGGGTCTCGTGGTCTTTGGGCCTTTCTGACCTGTTTGGGAGCGGTGGGGTGGGGTGGTCTGAGGTGGGTGGGGTGGTTCAGGCAGGTTGGCAGAGTGAGTTAGAACCGATGTTGTTTAACTACTGATCTATATATATGTACTGTCAAAATAACTTTTTGGAACTATTGTTTGGTTTGAAAGACGAATATACTTGTGTAAATGACCTACATAACATCGATCATGATAATAATCGCCCATATTTTACGAGATTCGTAGATTCTGGTAACGATGATTCCGACATTGACTTTTAAGAATGTATGTAAATGTGCTTGCATATAATAATATAATAATAAAAATACGTTTTACAATATGTCTATATGTTTCCTTATCCCTCGCTGCAATAAAAAACACACAAATAAAATTTTCTTACAAAACCGTTTATTTAATCAACACTGCTGCATACTCTGATAATTTACTAGCTAAATCACTTAAGAGCTTATTTTTGTAGTACAGTAAGCATTCTCGTACACAATAACTTTCTATGTTACCATTACATACGTCACAAAAGGATCTTATTACAAGTTCATTATTTCTTTCTTGGGTTACTACGTTACAAACAATCTATAAAAAGTTTTGATAAAATTGTTGGAAGCTCATTTTATATAAAGCACCTACTTTATATTTGACAATATTTTCATCAATATAGAGTATATCATTTATCACATTATGTGATAGATAAAAGCAAGCTCTACTTGTGTAAACTTTCAAAATTTTACAATCTAAAGTTGACGTTTTACATACTTTCACATCTTCATCACATTCAATATGTTTAATGTCCTCTTCTTTGGATGTTGTAATGCATGGTACTTCATTGTTCGATAAATAGCTGATGTCCAGACATCGTAGGGTGAAAATAAAAAACTCCCATTCGTCAGCACTGAATGGGATTTGAGTTCCTATTTCTGATTTTTTTATCAAGTTTACTGATGGTTCGAAACACCTTGCAATACTCAAACCACAATGGATACTTAACGGACTACAATCAGCAGTTACATAATCTGTACCCAATAAGTAAGGTGTTTTTTCTTGAAAAATTTGTTGTTTGCACTTCTTGTTTATTTTGTCTGTTTCAGCCCAATAGTATGTGTCAATATCCTTGCAGTAATTCTCAATCTCTGACTGATAGTTTTCACTATCTGATTCTTCACCTTCTATGTCTTTACGGCAGAACATCAGTATGAATATTGGCAGAATGAGCAAATGATAACACTATATCAATCTATCTCCCCGCCACAATTTTTAAATATTATAAACGATTAGATGAGTTTATCCAACTGTTGTGAGAACTATCAAAGCCAAGCCATTTCACGTAAACTTTATTATTTTTCTTTCTTAATACCTTCACAACGAAATAAACATCTGGAATGGATGTTTTTTGTAATCCTTCATTGTAAAATCCTCCTGAAATCGGATTTCCACGTAAAACTTCCAACAAATACGTTGTAGGATTAGTTATTTGAACTTTCGATATTTTAAATACCTCAGTCGTCCAATTCGGTAAATATCCTTTATTAAACAAATGCCTTTCTTTGGAGATTCTAACCAAGTTTCCAACTTTCAATTTTCTATTTCCAGTCATTTTGATATGACTGTACACACTATTCAAAATATCATTTTCATCAGTCTTATTAGCTTATGGTTATTATACATATCAACTAGGTCAAATAAAATATCATACCATCGATATGATCCATTCAGTGTAAAATGCTTAAATATTTTTTCTTTCAAAGTTCGTATTAATCGTTCTGCAGTGGCTGCCTTTTTTGTACTGAAGGTGCTGTAATGGTTTATATTATATCTTTTTAAAATAAAACTAAAATGTTTGTCATAGTATTCTTTTCCATGATCACTTTGTATATTTTTAGGTACTCTATTTCCGTTGTTTTTTAGAATATCTTCAAATGCTTTACTTACTTCTCCAGTTTATTCTCAAGTGGTCTAGCCCATGCAAGTTTAGAGAAACAATCAATAACTATCAGAATATAACGATACCCTCGATTTATTTTTGCATAAGGTTGCATCTCAATGAGATCTGTTTGCCATAAATCATCTAAACCTCGTATTATGGTTCTTCGTGTTTTGAAATTCTTTCGAATAGGCGCGTGCAGTTCGTTCGCAAGATGAATTTTTTCTGTAGAATGAGTAGCTTTCATGGTGACTATTAGTTAATTACTGATGTGATGATGTGTCTACGTGATGGTTCAAAAGTTTCTGTAGATTTGATTCTATATCTGGCACTTTTTTATTTAAATTGACTGAAGTTTCGTGAACATTCTTTTGATAACCTTCCAGCTTTATTAAGTCTTGTGAAATGACTTATTTAAAGTAATTACCTGATTATCAATATATTTTTTATTAGTTGCATCTCCAGCGTCAGTGGAGTCTTTAACGTTACATAATTTCAAGTTTTCAACATCTATATTACCATCACTAGTCAAAGAAAAACCATGCCGCGTAGATTGAAAAGACTGTTGTAGAGGGCGCCTTTCTGGTGCAGCTACACGTCCAAACTTATCAACGGTCATATTGGTTATGTACAAGATTCATATACAACATATGTATTTATTTCTTATTTAACTATAACTCCTGCTTCTTGAAGTTCTTCAATGATAGACAGTATTTCATTGTTTACTGAATTATTCCCAGCGTTTTGTGCAGCTACAAGTAATATCAACCTATCAACTAACTCATTCAAATTATCCCAGTAGACTTACTCTATTTTTTATTATTATAAATCATATTTCTTGGTAAACCAAGTCCTGAAACACTTGTGGTAGTATGTGATCGTTAGGTCTGATAATTTCTTTGTATTTGTACATGTTGGATCCTTTAAGACGTCCTGATGCAGTTTTATGTACTTCGCTTAATGACAGCACATGTTTATACATAGCACGGTCTTCATCGTTATATGATGGATCCTTATAGAAAATTAGCTGATATAAACCTGGTGTACCCGGAAATTGATTACCATCAATTATAATGTGACCAGTGCGTTGATTGAAATCAACGCGTTTCTTACCTAATAACCAAGATGAGTTCGAAGCATCATACACAGGACCATAATTTTTATCAATCTTTTGATCATCTAACCAATGTTCAGTTACATATTTTTTGGCTATCTCTGGATACTGATCAATGTATTCATTAATTACTACATCTCTAAATACGGTGCGGTGCATGCGATGCGTTGCGTGCGGTGCGGACTGCGACCACGATTAAACTGCGGTAAACAAATGAAGATGTCCCAAGTAAGCACGATTTGCGTGCGGTGCGGCAACCCCGCACCGCCCGCATTGTTTGAAAAATCAAACGGTTTGATTTTACCGGCAGTTACCGTCCGACTTGCGACGTGCGATGGAGGCATTTATTGCTGAAGTACAACAAAAAGACGTTTTGTGGAATAAAAGAAATCGAATTTACAAAGATCGACTAATTGTTGATAAAGAATGGAGTTGTGTTGCAAGAAACGTGGGAATCTCAAGTAAGTATTGATGATTTTTTATTGTTTTAATAGATTAAATACAGCTTAACATTCAAATTTTATTCATGGAAAAGTATTGACAAAAAGTATTTCGAACAATTTCCGCTTCTCGACATGAGTGATTATTTGATCTAGAAATTCTTAAGTTTTGATCCATTGTTGGTAGTGCTGATGTGAGATTATTGGCAGAAGTTGTCCATGTCTATTATAATATTATGTAAAAGGCAAATTGCTTTTACAATATGAACTGCATTATTAGCATTCGTTTTAATACATTTCAATAAAATCCTAAATTTGGCAGAGCTAATTCCAAAGGCACATTCCACAGTCATTCTACCTCTTGATAATCGCTAATTAAAATATGAGGCATTTACAGCTGTCTGAATTCTTCTTGCAGGAAATGGCCTCATTAAATACTTCTTCAAAGGAAATGCCCCATCCCCTATAAATACAAATGGAGTCTTCTGTTCGAAATTAGGCAGTTGTTTATCGTTAGATCCATTTACAATATTTTGGTGAATAGCGGAATTAGCAAATACTCCAGCATCACTATCTTTTCCGTATGCGCCTACATCTATCATTACAAATCGATACTTCGCATCGACTATTGCCATTAGCACTATTGAAAAAAAGCCTTTAGTTATAGTGAATGCTGCCTGAGTTATCTGGACACTTAAGCCGAATATGTTTCCCATCAACACTACCCAAACAGTTCGGAAAGTTCCATTTTTGAAAATATTCATTTGCAATCTTCTGAAAATCTTCAATTGTTGGTACAGGCATATGTACCTGACAAAATGATTGTCAAATGGCTTTGCAAACCTCCATAACTATGCATGCAACTGATGATTTCGATATACGGAATGTGAATGCCAGTTGCCGAAATGAAATTGCTAAAATACCTAGAACAAAAAAAATATAATACATTCCATATCATGAAAGTGACAGTGAGAAGAAAAAAACGAGGACGCTAACGTCCAAATAAGCCTGCCAATCCTCCGAGTCTAGCATAATCTAACGATGAATGTGTGTTATTTATTGATTTTGAAGGAAAATATGATTCTCTTTGTTTTCAGAGGACGAAACCAAAACGAAATGGCGCAATTTACGCGATCAGTTCCTAAAAGAATTAAAAAAAATCCCTAAAAAAAAATCTGGTGCCTCGCAAGAAGATGCTGCAGTATACTCGGGAAGATGGCAATACTTCAAAAATATATTGTTTTTAAAAGACACTGTTATTCCCAGACAAACTGAGGGAAATGTGCCCCATATAAATGACGTCCAAGACTCGCAGGTCACAATTCAACAAAATGAATATGAATCTGATGCCGATGAGATTGAGCTACAGTCTGATAGTGCTCAGACACAAGCGGACGTGGAGATACAAGCGGACGTGGTAGAAGCAACAGCAGTGGCTAGTACTAACTGTTCAGCAACATAAAATTTCATCTCATCGAAAGACCAAAAGGCCACGTAATGCCAATGATATAGAAGTGAAGTTGCTGGAGACTGAAAACAAAAAGCTCGCTCTTCTTGAACAGGAGGAGGATGAAAATTCCTTATTTTTACGTTCCTTACTTCCCTATTTAAAAAAACTAAATCCGTTACAACAATTAAAAGTTCGCAGCAAGTTCCAAGATATTCTAATACAAGAACTCCAAAATAGCACCGCAGATTTCCGTTGTCCCTCAAATAACACACTCTATTCAACTATTCCTTCTAGTTCATCTACATATTATTCAGACATATCTTCGCCGACATCCCCTCTTTTCTCTGTTCACGCCATCAATCCAGCATCATCTTCCGGAAGTGCAAGTAATTCTCCTCCTGGGGCTTTTACCACCTCTTATCTACAGGACACCAGGCAATCAGAGGTTACAACTATGGTTCGCTGAATAAAGTACCTTTTAGTAACATACGTTTTTTTATTTGCTTACCGTAAAGTTACCACAACTCTTTCTTCAACTGAGATAGGAATCTGGAAGTTTGTTATGCAATGATAACAGGCATTACGTATCTTTTTCACTATGTAATCGAACGTGTTGATTTTCATCCTAGTGTATTGATAAAAACGCTGTTTCATCCTCACGCAACTGCAAATACAGACGATGGAACTCGCCGTAAAGTACCCTGTTTTTGTAAATAACATGGGTGTGTTTTCTATTACGCCTTTTGTTTAGTTTCTTAAATATTTTTAACGTAACTACGCTGTTTTCTGTTAACAACATGCGACGTACCGAAGTTGAAGCCAAAGTAAATAAAACTGAACGCACGGTGAAATCGCAGTGTAGTTGGCCACCTCCGCGTTCACCGCAAACACCGATGATGCGTGCGGGCAACGCAATATCCGCACCGCACGCAAACGTACCTACCTAGGACCCGGCGTTAGGATTATTTCCAAAATACCTGGGTTCATTTATATCTAAATGGATTTCTCTACAGGTGCCGCTAGAGTCAGGAAAGTGTGCATGTCCTAAAACGCCGCCAGCATCATCTAATGTAAATGGACATTCATCATTACCCATACAGTTTGCTCTAAAATAATGAGTCTTGCTAACCTTGGTTATAGTAATATCAGGAGGATGTAGAGTGGGATTGGTAACCATTGTAAATGTTAAGTTTTAAACATTTTGCCGCATCTGAAAAGCCATTTCTGCATCTTTTTGGGCCGCAGGTGTGTTTCGAGGGAAATACCATTTCAGGTCATGTTTCCGAAATGGAAAACGAGTAAATGCTCATGTCTAAAATATTGGGGGCTAGAAATTTTGCGTGTTTAGACCTGCAGTTTACGCAGTTGTAGCGACGTGCTGGACACATACGGTTATCCAGTGTAAAAAATGTCGTCATCTGAAGATGAAGCTGCATGTGAAAATGATAGTAAGGTGCTGGACTTTATAGCAAATCAGGTCAGCAAATATCCAGAGATCCTTAGTAAATCACAGACGCCTGCATCTAAGAAAAAGAAAGAGGATGCGGTAAGAAAAATATTAGAATTATATGAAAGTGTTATGGGGCAGTCCATAACAACCGTACAACTGATGAAGAAAGTCAATAATATGAAGGCACGCTTAAAGAAGAAGACCGATGTAAGAAAAACCGGTAACAAACCTGTTAAACTTCTTCCATGGGAAAAAACCTTGTACGACGCCATGGATGGAGACTCAAATCCAAGTGTGGCGAAAATAGCAGGTAAGAACAAGAGTGGATAATAATAAATATATTATGGTGCAAGGGCGTATTCAGCTTTGTTCAATGGGGAAGGGGGATTCGTAACTTTTACGAACATATTAGTATTTTGAGTGTCTTGACTACGGCAAACTTCAAAGAGATCAGTGCTACGGATTCATTTAAATAAAAAAAGAAATTGTCTTTTGTTGAAACCGAATCAAAATATTTTTATCCGGTTAACCAATTTCTGTTGTAAGAAAGTATTTTATATACAAAGTGATTTGTGATACATGTTAAAATGTAACTTCAGCGTGCATTTTAGTGCTGCTTGTTTGTTCTTTTTTATAAGATAGTGGGTTCAAGCCCCCCGTGCCCCAGCACTCCTGGATCTGCCAATGGTTGTCGTCAGGTCTACTTTATCAATTTTTTCTTTCATGGCAGGAGCAAGATCATATGGCACGTCCTCTCCCAATACATCCTCTTCTAATTTGGATCAATCCACTGCCACTGCCTCCGCGTCGACAGCGAGCAGCAACTGCACTACCAGGCGAGACACAGGAAACTGAAAAGTTGTCCAACGGTTAGTTTTGCTAGAACAGCTACAGACTGCCCGAGTCCAAAGAGAGTATTATGGGAGAAAATTGTAAAGGGAAGCCGTGCAAATGGTACACGAAAACGGAAATACGTATGCGAACCTATGATGACTGGGTTCTGAGAAGGGGCGGGAAATTTTTACAGCAGTCATAAAGGATGCTTTCTCTGTTTTTTTTCTGGGACATATGGTTGATTTTAGTAATGTATATGTAGGTTCGAGGATCACAGAAACTATATTACTCTGCAATGTATTTTTATTCCAAGTTTAAGATCAATACAAATTTATTACAAACACATACGAGTAGATCACTTATCACGGTGCGTTATAATTTTGAATTATATTCGCTAAAACTTCACGCACTTCCTGACTGCGGACACGTAAGTCGTCATTATCTTCCTCATGCCCACTAACAACATCGCGCCGTGTTGATCTTCATCACTACCCTCAAAATCTGGATCCTGCAAGGCCTTAGCAATGTTGTGTAAAATGATACAAGCTACAATTATATCTAGAACATTAGTCAATTTCACGCGAAAACAATATTTCAGTATCGGAAAGCGCCGTTTTATCTGTCCAAAACACTGCTCGATTACTACCCTTTCCTTTGACAATAGTTTATTGTATGCCTTCTTCACGTCTATGTTGACAGGTTCTCGATAAGGAGTCATAAGCCAAGGTTCAATTCCGTATCCCTGATCAGCAATGAGAAAGATGTTCTGTGTACGTCGCATTACTTCTCTCACGTCGGAATTTTTCCAGATTCGACTGTCATGTACCGAACCCGGCCAGCTCACATCCACGCTGGTGAATACGTACATTGCATTGCACGTAGCTTGTACGTTCAAAGTTACTTCTCCTTTGCGGTTTATGTATTCTTCCCCATGTAAGTTGGGTTTCTCTATTTTCACATGTGAGCAGTCTAGTGCTCCAATAGCAGTCGGAAATCTAAACCGGCTTGCCCAGAGTTCTTTGGCTTTCATTATATGATGGTGACTTTTAGGAAACTGAATCCAACGATCAGCCTGTAGAGTTATTTTTTTACCACATCTCTCACAGTGCGAGAAACAGTGGATTGCTCAATCGCTCTTCGCCAATTCCGCTTTGGAAACCTGGATTTGCCAAATACCTTAAACATACTTTCATTCTGTGTAAAGCTGATATTGCACCACCACGCCTTTCTACACTCTCGCCTAGAAAGTTCTGGGCTAACCACTTCACATTTTCCTCTTCAAACCGGAACATACTTTTAAAATCACTAGTTCGCGGTGTACGCCGTGGTTTGTAGTATTTCATATTTCGAAGATTCATCATTTCAGCCATTTTTACTTTTAACCAAACAACCGTGCAAAAAACGTACGGAACCACTAGCAGCTCTGATGCTACTGAATAGCAGCATCAGTTTTCCATAAGTAAATACTCGCACTTTTGAGCAAAAGGTTGGCTTTATTCATACGTTTGAAGCAAATCCTTCAATATCATGAGCACTTGCTTCTTACTTATAAGCAAAAGCATTTACTTATAAGTTTATTCATATCCCTTGAAGCATTTACTTTTAATTTCGCAAGTATAAGCATATGCTCACTTTTATTCATATGGGACATTGTTTCGCATTCAACGCACAACGCTGTAAGCTGCAACAACCCCAGTACAAAAGTGCTTCAAGAGACGAGAGCGAAATTAAAAAGTAAGTGCTATTTTATTTAATATTTTTCTATTTTTATGTCTCTAAGTGTAACTGTTTTTTTTTTCGTTTTTCGTTTTATGCTTCAAAGTAGTTAGACGACTCAAATTTGGTTATAGATGGATTTAGCAAAAATTAATGCCGCGTCTTCGATTGCAGACCGCAAACCAGTCAGAAAATTAAAGGACCTGCCAATTGGGACACCTTTTGCAATACAAGCAGCAAAAGTGGTCGATTCGAAATTTGGGGAAGCAGTTCTACTAGATTTAGGACTTAAAGTTCTATTTCTACCCCAGCCGGTGACTGAAACGTACCAGCCGACCATCGACGAACTTTGTTAACGGAAAATACTCGCTAATCTTCCAAGGGGAAGTGGACATAGAGAAAAGCCGACCTCTAGCATCATTTTAGGCAACAGCGGTGGCCGCAGTAGTAGACTCTTCGGTCTCCTGATCAGTCGCCGTGCGCTGTGCGGGTTCGAGTCCCGTCCCAGGAGAAATTTTTCTCTTGGCTATGGATGTTGTGATTGTCCGTAGGTGGTAGATGGTCTCTGATTGTCGAATGCGGAGGTACCACCCGGCGGTTCTCGTAGGCGGAGCCAGAATGTGTGCATGTTGCATGCACACGTGTTCCCTCGCCAGAGTCCGTGTGGCGTCCCCCCTTCCCCATGTATCCCCCTATAGCCCCACGGTACCCCATGCGTGCTTAGGCCTTAGGCCTTCGTGGTAGTTGGATTATAAAAAAAAATTAAAATAGTTGAAAATTAACAAAGCAGAGAACAGGACAGGGTGAGCAATTTTTATTTGAACACCCATTGTGCGCTCAAAGTAAATACAACATTTTGCGGGGAGTTTATTAGGAAATCGGGGGATAATGAAATTTTGGGAATTAAATATTTTAATACTAAAAATCATATTATTGATACGTCAACTCAAATAGACGAGTGGTTTAACCCTCCAGTGAACGCGCGGATTACATACGTAATCCACTGAGCATTTTAGTGCTGCCTTCTGTGCGCTATTGCATATAGGGCTGCCTAACTTCTAGTACCTCTCCCGCATAGTCCAATTAATATTTCTAGTATACAACTGCCGCTCGTCGCGTTCGGATGTGTGACGTAGATCTGTTTATGTTACTATTGTAATCCACGCGTGCACTTACATGACAAAAATTAAAAATTAATGTTTTTTGAGCTACAACGATTAAGGTAAGTTTTTGTGCCTGGACATGGTAAAAAATATATTTGTAACTTAAATCCTGTTTCTAGAGATGACCCAACCGAAAAAAATCAAATTAGGGGATCCAGATTTTGAAAAAACCGTAATGGCATGTTACAACGAATTAGAGGAGGAAACGGAGTCTGCTGTTGATTTTAGCGACGACAGTTGGCCAGATGACGAGGAAAATAATGAAGAAGAATGTATGATATCGGAACATGAATCAGATCAAGACAGTGACGATGAAGTTGAAGAAGAAGAACAAAGTGAAGTGAAAAAATAATATGTTGGCAGAGACAAAATTACAAAGTGGAGTAAGATAAGTCAAGCCCCCAATACAGGAACACGTTCACACAACATTGTTTGATTGTATGATTGACAGTGACATAGTCAACGAAATAACGCGTTGTACTAACATTTATATTGAAAAGGTAAGAGCTAATTTCCAACGATACAGAGATGCAAAAAATACTGATACTGAAGAGATTTGGGGACTTATTGGTATATTATATCTGGCGGTGTTCTTAAATTTGGAAGACAAAATATTTTTCAAATGTGGGACAACACCAAAGGCACTGGCGTTGAAGCCATTTACTTGTCCATGTCTGTCAATCGTTTCCGTTTTCTAATGAGATGCCTGCGATTCGACGACATCAATACCAGACAACAAAGAGAGATAGATAAACTTGCTCCTGTCAGAAATACTTTTAAACTTTTCCAAAAAAAATTTCAGAGCAGCTTTACGTCTTCTCAATATTTAACAGTAGATGAGCAGTTAGTAGCTTTCAGGGGAAAATGTCCTTTCTGTCAGTATATCCCCAATAAACCATCGAAATATGGTATAAAAATATTTTCATTGGTAGATAAAAAAAATGCGTACACCTATAATATGGAGATATACTGCGGAAAACAGCCAGCTGGCCCATTTGAAGTTGATTGGACTAGCGCAGAGATCGTCAAAAGAATGGTTAGACACCTTGAAGGAACCGGCAGAAACATTACCATGGACAACTGGTTTACAAGTGTACCATTGGCCACTGATTTGCTTCAAAAACGCTAAACTATTATTGGGACAATCCGTAAAAATAAAAATGTACCTTGGTATCATACGTCCCCAAAAAAAATAAAGTGGTATTAGCTTTATCAACCATGAACCATGATAAATCTATTGATCTTGAGACGGAAGACAAACAAAAACCCGAAATAATAACGGATTACAACAAAACAAAATTTTGTGTAGACCTAGTGGACCAATTGTGCACACAGTACGATGTTTCTCGAAACTCTCGGCGTTGGCCACTCACCGTCTTCTTCGATCTATTGAATATATCAGGAATCAATGCATTTTGTCTATATAAAGCTAATAATAGTTCTGACGCATATTAACGAATTTAAGCGCATATATATCTGTTATGTTTGAAGTTGTTATTAGTTTAATTGTCGGTGGTTTTGTAATTGTTTTAAGATTATATATATATATATATATTCATATATAAACAAGCATTCTGTTCTTAAAGTATCTATAGACAAAATTTGACTGAATTTTAAAGCTTCAAGCTCGATATTTTTGGTTTCTCGTCATTGACTTTAATATTTTTATATAGTTTTTACATTTTAAATTTATAGAGAGTAAAGAAACTAATACCAAATGACTATTAAAATTTATAATATGTTCTGTTCAAGAATTGCATGATTGCGTTATGTGGTTATGAACATTGTAGAGGAAAGGTATACCTTTTAAGGAAATAATGTATTGTTGTATATAATTCATACAAATAACTTTTTAAATATGTTTTGTGATTAAAAAATAAAATTTAATTTGTTTAGTAATTTTCTGGGACTTTCTTTCAATAGCTACAAATTTCTAAAATTGTACTTTTCATCACAACTAAAAAGAAAAATCAAATATTTTTTAAAATGTTTATACGAACTAAGAATGTTTTTTTATGATTATTTCAGCTGATGCTAAAAAAACAAAGCCAAAAAGAGATCCTCCTAAAGAATATCCAAATCATCAGTATGATGGCCGTCGGCATGACAGAAGGCGACTTGAAAATTGTGGGTTTTAATTAATGGTAAGATGAAAATAATTTATCTAATAAAATTGTATTTTCAGATAATATGGATACTTTAGTAAGATTTTTCAAAAGTCAGCAAGATAGCCATGTCAGGCTGTTGGGGTACCAGGCCCGCCTGCTTATGGAATTCATGACAAAAAAATAAAGAATATACATAAAATGTTTTTTCTTTTTTCTCAAATATGTTTCTTTCAGGTTCTTGTAGATTATTTTGAACAGAAAACCACCACCAAGCAGCCGATCAGTCAAACTGGTATCAATGCTTTCAAAGAAAGTATAATGCTAATGAAATCAGACATCCAAAATACCGAGCGACAATTGGCAGTGGAAATGGATAAGAGTAAAAAACTGCGAGAACTTCTTCATCAAGACGAGGAACTTCTAAAACATTTAGACGAGGACAGAAAGCACGTACGTGAACAGAAAAATAGGAGGAAACGGCAAATGGACGAAGCAATAAATAGGGTTGACAACTTGAAAGAAATGGCACAACGGAAGAGGGGCAAGCTTTAAGAAGAAAAAGAAACTCTATATATATATATATATATATGTATAATGTCATATACCTTAAAATTAATTTTTAATTTACTTTTTTTCCGTCATGTATAATACGTGTATCATAATTCTCAAAAATAATAGATTAGGTGTGGTCAAATAGGTGTGTTTTTAATTTTAGAAATACTTATTATACCTTTAATCAATAAGTATTTTCTCCAGGACTGTTTTTCCAAATCTGGCAGACCTATCAGTAGATGACCTATGAGAGTTGAGTCTCAGTAGAGGCTTGCGGGGAGGAAGGCGAGCGGGCGGAGAGGAAGGCGCGCGGTGCGGGCCGGCGCACAGTGTGGCGCCCAATGGACAAAATTACTCAAAAACATAATTTTTGACATTAGAATTCTGTTGCTTTTATTATACCATTGAATAGATAAATAGTCACTGCAACACGTAAGTATAGTACTTTAATCAAGTTGGCTGCGATTTACCTATTTTAGCAACTTTAAAGTTAGACATGTCGAGACCTGACAAGAAGGCGAAAAATCTCTCTGTTTTATTGCTCGGGAAAGATATAAATTTTGTGTCGAAATATTTAAATATTTTAACTTTTCCAATATGGCTGGTAATGAGGCTGGTAAGTACATTATATTGATGTATAGATTTATTTAAAATATAATTATAATTAGATAATTTTTTAAGGTAAAGTGACTATTACCGATTTTTTTAATTTTTTTTAAACTTTTGACTTTGTTTAGAGTTTTACAATAATCACCTCCCATCACCCTAAATTTTTTTTTATTTATTGTTTATCTGTCCATAGTAAGTTTTGATAAAAAGTTTAAATCACGTCATGCCACGTCTAAGGGAGATATAATTTTTTTTAGGACATGGTGCTATTGTCAGAAATAGAGATTTGATTGATGTGTGGATATAAGCACCGAGAGGAAATAGAAAACAGGTGGTTTATGAAAAGATATTATCTCTTATTGATATAACAGATGAACCTTCCAAACATCTTAAAAGTAATATTATGAAATGCAGCCAGTTGTTTGGGTTGAAAATGGCAAATAAATGGCAGAAAGTAGGACAATCTCGGAATCGACTTTTACAAAATCAGGTATATTGGTTAGACAAGATTATATATAGAATAAATAATGATTCTGAAGAAAACACATCTTCAGATGAGGAACAAGAACCTTCTTGTCGCTCAGTTGGACGACCACGGGTGCCATTTGAAGAGGCATCGAAGAAAACAAAACGAAGACGTGTAGCCGAACTAACCACACACAGATCTGCAAATGAACTTCAATTTGCTGTAAATGTCGTTTCTGGAAGCAATCACAGTGAGGTCTCGCCACAAATTTTTTGTTTTAGTACAGCTGAAGCTTTAGCCCTTATGGTAGATTTGGATATATCCGTAAGAAAGTATTTGCTACTTAGGTCTGTTATTAATGGTAAGGCCCAGAACTGCCTTTCTAGTTACAGTAGAACTTCGGTTATCCGAACCTCTATTATCCGGACCTTCTATTATCCGAACTCGTTTACACAGTTGTTTCTAGCTTTGAACGGACGCCGCCGACGTTGCATTATAAAAATGTAACACGTGCTTTCCCCTCCTAAAGGGGCGTTTTCCTAGCGACGGGTTTTTTGCGTCGTGGTCAACGTGATACGTTGAGCGTTTTACGTCGAGCACTTCTTCCTCGAAATTTAATGGGAGTGTTTTCCTGAACGGCGCATCACGTCAGCGTGGAACGTAAAACGTCGACGGAATAGATCCGACTGCTTTCGGAGGAGTCTATTCCGTTGTACGCTGCGTGATTTGCTTTGAGCGCACGTGCTACATTGAGGTTAGGAAGCGTGTTATCTTGTGTATACTGCTGTAAAAAATGTCACAAAGTTCTGTGAAACTACCAACGGTGAAATTTTCTGCCGATGATGACGAAGTACTCATTGAATTTGTACAGAACCATTCAATATTGTATGACATGAAAGACCCGGACTTCAAGAACACATTAAAAAAAGACCTCATTTGGATTGAAGCTGGAAAAGTTTTGAATAAAGAAGGTACGTTTTTTAAACCGTTTTAGTATATTTATTGTTATTATAAGTATTAGTAACAGTAGGTTGAATAATGTAAATTATATTGTTCTAAAATAATATGGTAAGTCAACAAGATTTTCAAACGGGTAGATATAGGGATTGATTTATAGAATAACCTCTTGAAACTGTAGTTATATAACAGTAGGTAGTGCTTTTAATGTGAGGGAATGCATTACTGCGGACTGAAGTAATTAGTGAGCTGCCTCCTCACTTCAAATCCTTCAGCCCCCGCAAAACCACCTGTACCTGCTAAATTGATAAGGTTTTGGGTTGGGAAGCCCTCCAGATTTGGCGTTATATCTACTTTTGTAGCATTCAATGATAAATAATCATCCCTCAGCATGTTGTGTAAACTGCAGCACACCACAATAATCGAGTCAACAGTTTCAGTTTTCAAATTTATTGGAGTAAAAAAAATTCTGAAAATGGTGCTCATGATGCCAAAAGCGTTTTCAGAAGTTCTTCTGGCTTTGCTGAGGCAGAAGTTGAACTTTCTTTTCTTTTCATCGTGCAATATTTGTGCTCTGGGATAAGGCTTCATCATATGTTCACTCAAACTGAATGCATCATCACCAACTACTACGTGAGGTAGCAAGGTGTGAGAGTTTGGTAGGTATTTTGGAGGTGGAAACATGGTTCCATTCTTCACTAACTCTCCCATTTTGGACTTTTTGAAAATCCCTGCGTCACCTTCCTTTCCATACGATCCCACATCAATAATGAGAAACTTGCAGTTTGCATCAACCATTGCAAGAAGCACCACAGAATAATATCGCTTGTAGTTAAAGTAGAGACTTCCCGATTTGGCTGGTGCTACAATTCTCACATGTTTGCCATCAATGGAAGCTATACAGTTGGGAAAACTCCAACGTTTCAAAAACTCGTCTGCCTTCTGTGCCCAGCGTATCTCTTCAGGCGGAGGTAAAAAAAGTGGAACAAGCTTTGTCTGTAGAGCAGCTAACACCTTGGGCACGATCTTGCTTATTGCAGAGTGTGAGATGCGGTAGCCAAATGAAAGTGATCTGTACGATTCCCCTGTGGCCAGAAACCTGAAACAAATTTGAAAAATCTTTGAAATAACCAACACATATTAGGTAGTGATATTTTTAATAGAAGTGTCGTGTTTGTTGCAGGAAGCGAGTGTTATGGCGGATTTCCACCAAACAGACAAAACAGCAACAAAACAGAAACTCGTGTTTATCTCAACAAAACTGCAACTTTTCACCAACATTTTGTAGACAGGAGTCGCCGGCAACTGTTTTTGTTGAGTTTTTGTTGTGTTTTCGAAGTCCCGGTCGAAGGCGGTAACTTCAAAGGGTTTTCGCGCAACTAGCAACACAGTTGGTTTAGTGGAAACAGCTTGCGACGCGTCTCTGTTTTGTTGTAGTCTGTTGTAGTGTGTTGCAGTGTGCGCAGTTTGAATTTATTTGTGCTATTGAATACCTAGCAGTTAATTGCAGGATATGACTGAAGAAAAGAAAAAGTGGACCACAGAAGAAGTGGGAAATTTAATAGAAACTTATCGCGATTGTCCAAATTTATGGAACCCCACAAACCTGGAGTATAAAAATCGAGTGAAAAAAATGGACACTTACAAACAAATAGCTCATGTATTTAAAACAACTCCACATGAAATAGAGAGGAAAATAAAAAACTTAATTACCCAGTACCAACGGAAAGGCGCAGTTACAAAAAAATGAAAAAATCAGGAGCCGGTCATGTTTTCAAGGCAAAATGGTTTGGTTATAGTGCCATGAGCTTCCTTCACGACAAAAACAAACCTAGGAAAGGAACACAGATTGGCGTAGAATTGGAGGTGAGTAGGTATTTTGTTTTTTTTGTGTTTATTTAAAACTCTAGCATTTTAAGAAAATTTACAACAAATAATTAAGCATACTGTGATTGCCATGGTACTTGTCCTAAGTCCGATATGAAATATTCGCTGAATTCGTCTCTAATTTCTCGGGCTTCTTGAATTGGTTTCCTTGCTATTCGTCTTATAGGCAAAAGTGAGTGACATGGTTCCGGATCATTTCTCCACAATCCTCCACTTACAGTACCAGAATCTAAGTGTTCGAAATCAAAGGAGCCTGGCGGTGTATATCTATCTTTCGATTCCACATCTCTACGTAAATAATTGTGCAGCAAAACACATGTTTGAACAACTTTCTCCACTTTGTCCGGCTCTAGTAACATAGGCTTGCGAAGGACCCGAAAAACAGATGCTAGTATTCCGAATACGTTCTCGACGACTCTTCGAGCTCTACTTAGACGGTAATTAAAAATTCGTTGTCTTGACCCACGTTCTTGGTGCCCAGCATACGGCTTCATTATATTTTGTGACAAGGGGAATGCATCGTCTGCTAGTAAGACGTATGGTACCAGTTTTTCTCTTCCAGAAAGTGCCGCCTTTTGTGGCAGATTGAGCATATCTCTTTCCAATGCTTTGGCAAATCCAGTATTTTTGAAAACTCCTCCGTCTGATATTCGGCCCTGGCACCCAACGTAAACAAAAATAAAATTGTAACTGGCATCGACTATGGCAAACAATACAATACTAAAAGTCCCTTTATAATTGAAGAATTCACTTCCACTGTATTTTGGGGATTCTATGATTACATGTTTTCCATCCATACTGCCTATACACATCGGGAAGTTCCACATTGTATTATATCCATTTGCAACTTTTTTCCAATCCTCTGGATTTGCGGGAACCTTAAAACAAAAAAATTCAGGACCATGATCAAATGTAAGAAGGAAGAATCCCGAAAGGACACGATATCTGATTTCTTGATATTGGATTTCAAACAACTGATATTATTCCTAAAATAATCTTCATTTTAAACTATACAACCCACATTTTATGAAATTCAGCCAATTCAATGCGCACTCTATAATTACAGGGAAGTGATTCGTCAGATGAAGGTGATGAAGAAACCCAGTCTGATATGCAAAGCACAACCGAAGCAACGAATGAGTATGAAAGTGAAAGCGAAGTTTCAGAATGTCAGTTAACTGAGGAAATAGGCACACCTGCAGCAAATACAAGGGAAGAGCCTAAAATCGCTGCTGCAGCGTCAGTTAACAAAAATGTTTCAGTTGAGAATACAGAAAGTGCAGAATATTTTCAGAAACAAGCTTCCCAGAAACCACATGTTTTTAGTACTCCAAAAATTGGCTCAAGAAAGAAAAAACGTGTTGAGTCTGATGACAAAAATGAGACTACGGAGGTCTTTCAGATGATGAAGTCAGTATTTGAGAACAGGCAAGTAACTACATCAAGGCGCGACGAATACGACGTGTTTGGGGAAATGGTGGCCTGCAATATCAGACATCTGCAAACTGAACATGCTAGAGTTACTGTGCAACACAAAATAAATAACCTACTATATGAGGCTCGAATCGGTTATTACAATTATCCAGAAACCATGCGAGTCGTCGTGCCATCACCTTCACCTAACAGCAGTCACACTGTATCATCTGACACCCAGTCGGCAATGACGGAGACGGAAGTACAACAAACTTGGAGTGATGACGTTTTACAAGTTGCCATTGCATCATCCTTTGGGCTGAATACAAATCATGACGATAATACAAATCAGGACATGTTTCCAAAGAATTAACCTTAAGTTACTGTACGTACTATTTGTCAAAATATATTTTCGTTGCAGTATCCTATATACAGTGTGGCCTTACCTTTATATTATCCTTTAGACCTTCGCATAGGGCACTGCAAACTTCGGGCACAATTCGTGAAATTGATGATGCAGATGCTTTACATAAATACATCAAACTTTGATAGCTGTCCCCCGTAGCAAGGAATCTTAGTGTTATAGCTAAACGGTCTTTTACGGATATAGCGTCTCTGTAATTTGTGTTTTGTTTGCGAATCTTTGCGCCGATCAGAGTTATCAGGTTTTCAAAATCAGTGCTGGACATTCTCACAAAATTATGAAACGATGATCGCAACTCGCCATGCAATCCAAAATCATCCGTTTTCAACTGAGTAAGCATTTCTGCCGCGCCATTATTTTCTCTTGTAGTCAACAGCGATCTCACCCAGTACCTGTGCTGTCGACGCTTTTTCCTTTTCTTTGCTTTAGAATGCAATATAAACCATCCACATAACATGATGAAAAGATCATCTTCATGCCACATGATCAACACAAAACACTGTCTGCCTAGTGGAAAGGAGTGACAACTTACACACAACTAGGACTGTAGTCGAGTCTGTTCAGTTGCAACAGCGTTTCTGATTTGGTTCTGTTTTGTTGCTGTTTTGTGTTGTCTGTCGGAGTTTTCATATTCGGAAACAAAACAGCAACTCGACGAGTCGGTTTGGTGGAAATCCGCCATAAGAAACGCTGGAAACATATGAGGGATCACTACAAGAGGGAAAAAAAGAAGAAAGAGGCTCTACAGGAAAGGCTACAAAGAAAAAAAGAGCGGTGTATTGGGAGCGGCTGCAATTTTTGGATACTGCGGGAGATGAAAGAAGCAGCTTTACAAACGTTCTTTCTCCGTCCAGTAATGAAGCTTCAAATCCCGAGGAACCAAATATTAACAATCTGGAACATTCTGAGGAGCACGAGACTCCCGAGCGAGCCTCAGAGCGACCACCAATTGTATCTTCTACACCAGCCTCAGATTGCCATGAGGCCATCTTTCGACCGCCAGCACCAAAATCGAGGAAAGAAAAGGTTGCAATCCAAAAATATTTCCAAGAAAGAACAGAGGACAGATTACATTTGAAACAGTGCCTTGACGACATTGTGGGACAGCCACTACCCGAGGACAACGAAATAGATTTGTTTTTCAGAACTATGGCAGCCACTGTCAAAAAATTTAGACCAGACCTTGCCACCAAAGCAAAATCGAGTGTGTTTAAAATTATTACTGATTTGGAAATAGTAAACCAGCAATTGCTTTTGCCAGCCAATGAATTTCATTCGGATTCCTACTCCTCATCATCGTCGCCGTGGACTCCACATTCATCCACAGAACCTACCTACACCAGCTTGGACATAATATCAGAAGCATTCACACAAGCGATTCAAAATGGGGATGATAACTAACTTTTCTTTAAGTTATTTATTCAGTTAACAATAACGTAAAAATAATAAATTATTTGTTTGTGAAATTAAAAGTATTGTTTGAAACGTTTTTTAACTTACCTTAGCGTTAACGCCAATTTTTCTGCTGCTGTTATTGGTTCTTTGACTCTGTTATAGGAGGAGGTTATTATATCTTCTTCAACGAGGCTTAAAACAAAGGAAAACCGTTCGCGGGTCAATCTAAAATAGCTTTGAAACTTTTCTTCTTCATCACGGAAATGGCGCTTGATCAAAGTGTTGTATATTCCTTCATTCATGCGTTTTTGGAACACAGCACTCACTTCCTTCCTGCTCTCAGCCAATTCCCTCAAAATTATTTCTTCATCCCTGTCATCATCTATGATTTCTGTTATTATTAGCATCGCAGCGAGTTTTCTTTTCCTCCGTATTACCTCCATTTTATAAAACTGCAACTGAAGTCTGGCACCACCTACGTTGACTGAAAACGCGTCTCTAGGAAAACACTTTCACGCAACGTACTGCATTTCACGTCCCTGCCAACGTGATTACGATAAATCGGTTCCGCGCTGCGTAAAAAACCCGTCGCTAGGAAAACGTACCTTAAAGCAGAAGCAAAACAGGTTAAAATGTGCTAAAAGCCACCGAAATTGGGATATGGAGAGGTGCAATCGTGTGCACTGGAGTGACGAGTCACGATTCGAACTTTGCGGGTTGTTAGTCGGAGAAGAGTTATTCGCCAAAAATATGAAACTTATCATCCTGATTGTCTCAAGCGCAAAGTTAAATTTCCATCTTCAGTAATGGTCTGGGCTTCAATGTCGGCAAGAGATGTTGGCAAATTACATTTTATCAATGGCATTGTTAACTCAGATGAATATTTAGACATCCTAGAGAAATTTTTGTTGACTTCATGTTCCAGCAAAACGGTGCTGCCATACTTCCAAAAACACCATGAAATGGCTTCTAGACCATGAAGTAGCAATCCTAGAATGGGTTTCTAGTAGTCCGGACCTTTCACCCATCGAGACCTTAGGGCACATCATGAAAAAGAGGCTGCGAGCCAATGCTGCCAGGACTTTGCAAGAACTCAAGGAAAAACTGCAGAACATTTGGGATAATTTCACTACAGATAAGTGTCAGGACTTAATAAATACTTAGGTCGACGAATTGAAGCTGTAATTAAAAATAAAGGTGATGTTACTCAGTGGTAAAATGAGTTACGAATTCTTGTTTCTTAGAGATAAAATTCACAAATTTTGTTGTTTCCCCTTTTTTCGCTTAGTCAGCTCCAAGTGTTATTAGTTTAGTTTTTTGTGTAATAGAATTTTAAGATGCTGTTTGCAAAATAAAAATTAAGAATTATGCCTCTATTAGTTTGAATGATTGTCAATATATGCCAATAATTGCAAATTTACCAAGTGGGCCAACTGAAGCTGGACGGGGCTCGTATAGTATATGAAACCGATTCTGATAAGACGTACAGCAATCTTTGAGGCTGATGATGATAAATGAAAGTGCAGATTCAATTCTGTGAGATATGTGTAAACTTCTCTAAAGGTGCTGATAGTTTGGATAGTAAGCTGTTGATTTAAAATTTTCGTAAATGATAACAGAATCTTCAGGGTTCAAAACCCCCACCTGAAGCTTTTTTGTATTATGTTTTTCAGTTAGATTCAATATTTCTTTCCTTATTTGAGAAATTAAGCTTAGAACAGGGCATATCTGAGTGCACGAGATGCAAAACTCGATAATTGCCAAAAATGACTTAAGCACGCCAACTTGTTGGTACACTATAGAATTATTATTTTACACAACTATTTAGAGCAAAACTAGCTTTTTGACACAGAAAATCAGTCCCAAAAATCATGACGATGCAAAACTCGCTTAGTGCATTGACGCTCGCAATGCAATGCTCTCTATTTGCAAGGCGTCCAGTCACAGCATGGGAATTTACTCGCGTGCTTAGAGAAGTGCATGAGATGTATGTTTTCATGTATAGTTTAACTCAGTCGCGTTTTAGCAGTGTTCTGACTTGTTTAACTTCAAGTTGTCTGTTATAGTTATTAAAATGCAAATAGACAGTGAAGTTTCTGCAGCCAATGATAGTGTTAGTTCAGGAATACAACCTACCCCAAAAAACATGCGTAGAAAGAAAATAATGAGAGAAAGTAAAAGGCAAAAGTTCAAAAGAATAAGGTAATAAATGATATCGATTTGTTTAAATACTTGTTGTTTTATAAAACTGAATTATTTTAGACGCACCCCGACAGATATCGGAGTTCCCGACCTGTGAAGATAATGGCCAACCAGGTACACCGTATTATTGTGCCACTTTATCAATGAGCCAAACCAAAGATTTCCATAGAAAACTGTATGCATCTAAGGGAAAATGTAAACAAGATAGTTTTATAGTAGCAAGTTGTGAAGGACAGAATTGCAAAAGAACTAAAGTGACAAAGGAGAAAATCTATATTTATATGGATATAAAAACGTTTGCCGAAAAAATCCGTGTTTGTAAGACAGCATTTTTAAAAATCATCTCTCTTAGCAGATATCGAATTGAGGGGTGGTGAAAAATTTTGCTTTAAACGCAAATATGGCACGAAAAACAAGAGGAGGTGATCGCATCCTTAATAAAAACGTTAATAAGAAGTTATCAATAAAACATTTTATAGAATCTCTCCAATGCGTAGAGAGCCATTACTGTCGAAGTAAAACCAGTTTTCGTGTTTATCTACCATGTGAACTTGACTTGACAAAATTATGGAAAATACAAGGTGAGGCATAATAGTGGGGCGTTTTTAGAATGGCTAGTACACGCAAACAGGTGGGGGCAGAGGGCCGCGGTTGACATCATTAGATTCAGGAAAGCTTTGGTAGTGAGAGCATCCCGCGTTTGCAGTAGAGGAGTATTTAAAATCAGGCCAGTCCGTTATTGTTGTGCAGCGGCGCTTTCGACCTCGCTTCAATATCGGTCAAAGCGGTTCAGTTCCTAAACGTGAGACAATCAGGGTACAGAATTTTAGAACGACGGCATCAGCAGATAATCCAAAACCTATAGACCGTCCCCGAGGTGCATGGATACCACCTGCCGTAGAAAGGGTAAGACAAGCAGTAAGTCAAAGTCCACAGCGTTCTGTCCGAAAACAGGCTGCAGCACTTCGAATGAGCAGTCGAACGCTTCGCAGGATTTTACACCAAGACCTTAAATTTCACCCCTAGAAGCTCATGGTTGTCCAGCAAGGAGATTTTGCTCATTGCCAGCTATTCGCTGAGAGAATGCAAATGATTTTTGCTGATGAAAATAAACCTGTAATAAGGATGAGCGATGAGGCTCACTTTATTTATGCGGTTCTGTTAACAAACGGAACTGCCGATATTGGGCAGCAGATAACCCTGTGAGCTGCATCAATGCCCACTTCACAGTGAAAAAGTCACCGTTTGGTGTGCCGTGAGCCAACTTGGATTAATCCAGGAAAAATGCGACGCACAACTTCCATCGAGGCTCTGGCTGTATGTGCCGTGGCGTGGCAGCGTCTTGTTGGATCAAACATTTCTTGTATCGATTACTCGTCGTCGCAATTCTGGGATGAAAAAATGTTCCAACAAAAACGTATCGCTCGGAGATTACAGTTGCAGTTGCTCCTTGTGTATCCTCGAAGAAATAACACTTAGGGGCTTCGTACACAAGGCTACGCAAATCTTCGATACCCAACGATTTTAGTCTCCAAGCGATTACCGCCATACAAATCCATTGAGGTTCGTGCACGAGTCGCGTCGCCGACATTTGTCTCGCGACTCGCATCGTGCCAGTCGTGTGCTACCTGCCGGACAAGATCTTCGCTACATAAGTCGCAGCGATTTCCAGGATGGCGGAGCAGTTATTAAATATTAAATTTGTTTCGGAGGTGGAGAAGTATCCCTGTTTATACAACTATAAAATAAAAGAATATTCTAGAAAGGATATTACAGAAAAAGCGTGGGTATCAGTAGGAAGGGCCGTTAATTTAACAGGTTGGTAGATTTTTATAGTATTAAACATAGTAATTTAGTAAAGAAAAAACACATTTGGCAGTATGTTTTTTATTAAGATTTTTTTACGCATATACACGATATTTTGTGTACATTTTATTATGATAGCCGATGTTGTAACCCGCCGGATTACCCATGTTATTGTGATCTAGGATCATGATTAGCTACTAACTAGTAATGTACCAGATATCCGTATCCACTAAACCATAAACAGAACACAGTGAATATCTGATGTTAAATTAATAGTTAAAATTAGAAAATAGAACTTGCTACAGTACTTAATGGTGTGTGGTCCAGTAAAATATTTATTTGCATTTACAGAATTTTGTTATTTAAACAGACTAACAAAATTTATACAATACAATTATATTGCCATGGGAGTGCTACCTGAGGTTTAAGAAAGTAGTTAGCTAAATAGTTTCTTAACGTATTTGGAGAAGATTGCGCATTCAATTGAATTTGCTGAGGTTGTATTATACCATGTGTACTATTGGAATTTTCTTCATACGCACGATATGGAAGCCCTTCTCTTTTCCTAACATAGTTGTGTAAAATACATACTGATTTTACAATATTATTAATCTTTATATTGTCGTGGCATCTTATCGCAGTGCTTAGAACCTGAAATTTTTCCGTCATCATCCCAAAAGCGCAAGTAGTACAGCTATAGGCGTTCCCGACCACCTAAAATAGCATGTGAAATTGTACCGTAAAACTTATAGGCGTTCCCGACCACTACACGTTCTGGACCAAAGTACGTTCTAGACCAGTCTCTCTAGACCAAAAGTCATTCTAGACCAGTCACTCTAGACCAAAGTACAAAAAAAAACGTCGTTTTTCAACGCGCCGCGTTTTTTGTCACCATCCCCCTTAGTAGCGCGCGCGCGTGCGCATGCGCATGGGGCTCATTCTGGCGGGGCGGGCGTACTACGGGGGAGGAGGAGGTGTAGACAGCAGAGAATAAACGATACGCTGTAAGGAGTTTATCTATCTTTATTTTTTTTTTCTCATAGTTACACGTTGTTTTGAATATAATTGTTTTATATAATAATTCCCCTTTGTCATTATAATGTACCTATATAGTTATGTTTTTTGTTGGTTGGTTTGGTAGGGCTGGCACTTTTTCCCTTTTATTGCAAGGGCAACTTTGTTTTTGTTGTATGTTTTTGGTGGTGGTGGTGGATGGTCCGGGTGCCGTTGATGCAGGTGCCGCCGGAGATGGAGTAGATTCTATTGATTCGGAGCAAACCAGAGAGTTGTCTTCTTCTTCTTCTTCTTCTTCTTCTGAAAGTATGTGATAATTGATAGACTTTGGACAAAGGCAGAAGTGTTTTTGACATTTTAGGCAGTATGCTGTACCGTACTGTGACATTATAACAAATAATGAAAATAATCAAGCTACAACTATATATATATATATATATATATATATATATAATTTGAATAGTGAGTATCGTTTGGTTTGTTTTTTTTTTATTAGAAGGAAGAGATGCATAGTGATAAATTCTTCAATTGAAAACTACCGGGTTATATTTTTCTGAAGAATAGATAGGAAAACAAGTCTATGCATAAGCCATCTGACTCATCTCACGTTTTGTGGTAAATTATTGCATATAGATTGGTAAAAACCTATGAATAATAGTAATTATAGATGCACTGTTCTGCGGATTCAGTTTGAATAAAAAAACGTATGCATTATGAAATTCGCAGAACAATGCATCTATGATGATCTCAATAGTCAACACGTCATTTTCAGTGCGCATATAAAATGGAATTGCTCAAATGCGGTGCATACAGTTAATGATTAGCAATAGATGCAGTTGCAGCTTTTTTACATACAGGCTTGTAAAGTGCGTGTGAAGTGATTGGAAATAATTTCTGGTAAGTTTTAGTTTTTAACATTGATACAATATTGAAAACAGTACAGTCTGTATTGTGTATCTGATAAATTCCAACAATGCTAGTATTTTAATTTTGTTTTGATTTATTCATGTGACATGTTTCAGTTTTGAGCTTTCGTATTTATATATATAGTAAAATACTTTTTGATGTATTGAAAGAGCAAATAGTTAGATGAATGCTAATATATTGATTTTATGTTAACTTCTTGGTAACTTCTATTATTCACAATTTTTTTATTTATTTATTTTAGATAAACTTGGACTTAAACAAGATAAATGAAATTGCAGCTACGAGCTACACGAGTAAGCCGAAAAAGAGCCTGTACGAGCTACCGCTTAACCAATACCAGACTGTACTTTCAATAAGAATCGTACAAGGACGTTTTGGACAGGTGCCGTTGGTGGAGCTACAAAATTTTGTAGTGTTTCTACCAGGGAGAGCGACGGAAGTGATCATCGAAAACCTAGAAAATTTCACTCCGGGACGTTACGCAATTGCGTATACAGGCAGCGTGCCCAGCTCTTTCGGAGATAATCAAGTTCACCATTTTAAGCTTAAGGATCTACACGAATAAGTAAGAACACTTGTATTATAGGCTAATATTGTTATTCTCAAGGTAAAGTAATATTGATTTGTTTTGCATGAAATTCAATGGACCTTTCAGATCCATTCAGTGAATCAGTCAAAAATACTGTTAAGATTTTTAAAAAAGCTTATGAAACTCTTACTGAAAAAAAAATGCTTCTGAATCAGATAAAAAACGCTGGATAAAACTGATTAATGAAAATTTAGTAATTTTTCACAAAGCTCTTAAAAATAAATATATTAGTGTTAATACACGAAAAGCTGTTCATACTGGTGTGGTACACTTGAAAAGATATAAATTTTTATTACAGTCCTTTCATGTAGGTCGTGGTACATTTAGTACGCCAAAAAGAGTTGTATGGGAAGATACTGAGTCAACCTTTGTTAGTCGAATTCATACTGGTGTTATTATAAATTTAAAACATGTTGATATACATGATTTTTTCCTTGATGCGTTCAATCTATTCGAACATCAAATACAAAATAAATTGTCCGTAATGCCCATTTTGAAAGTAAATGGGACCTTTTGTGGTGAATTTATTAAGTCTTCGAATGGTACAGATATCAATGATTTTAAATATTTCAATACCAGAAATCAAACTACAAATTTACAACAATGGTTCAAAGATAACATTGTTGATAAAATTTTGAACAAGCTATCAGAATTTCAAGAAAGATTGAGTGGCTGGTCGTTATTAAAGATTATCTCTTTAGAAATTAATATAAATAAAGTGGAATTTGATAACGTAAGTTCATCATACGTGAAATTACCTACTCAAATTGCTCGGAAAAAGGCGTGTATCAATATAAAAAATTATAATGATAATGCATGCTTTGCCTGGTCTATAATAAGTGCCCTTTATCCTGCTGAAAGTCATACTGATAGAACCTCGTCCTATCCTCGTTATACTGAAGTTCTTAACTTAGAAGGGTTGGAAATGCCCGTTCGCTTAATAGATATAGGTAAGTTCGAGGAAATGAATAAAATTTCTGTTAATGTTTTTGGAGCTGAGTTGATTGTACAGGAGAGTAAATCTTTTTATAACATTGTACCATTAAGACTCACGCAAAAAAAAATGTTAAAACATGTCAACCTGTTAATGATACAGAACAAATATTATCCCAAATTAAATGATTTCGAACCGTTACCATTGGAAAATGATGATTTTAACACAGATGATGATGATTTTGAAATTACTTATCATTACGTGTATATTAAAAATCTTGCTCATTTAGTAAGCTATCAATTAAGTAAGGCTCACAGTAAAAAATGGATTTGTGATAGATGTTTTCAATACTTCCATACAGAGAAGCAGCTACATGAACATGAAATCCACTGTCAAAAGTTGAACGATTACAAAATATCATTTCCTAAAGACGCTATCCTAAAATTTAAGAACTTCCGATATGCGGAGAATGTACCTTTTATAATTTACGCTGACTTTGAATCAATGTTACTACCATTCAGTGAAACTAACAAAAAATCAACATTGTCGCATATGATCAAGTATCAAAAACATGAAGCATTCAGCGCCGGTTATTATTTCAAGTGCAGTTACGATGATTCATTATCATTTTATAAATCCTATCGCGGTATAGATTGTATACAGTGGTTTTCAAAAGAAATGGAGGAAATGTCAAAGTTTGTCCAATCAAAACTTCAATTTGTTGTTCCAATGAATACATACGTTGATTTTAAAAATGTTAGTTCGCATTGTCATATACGTTATGTAAGAAACCATTCAAAGCTGACTCTAAAATTGTAAGGGACCACTGCCATCTGAGTGGTGATTTTCGGGGATTTGCTCATTCTAAATGTAATTTAAATTATAAAAACTCATTCATAGTTCCAGTTGTGCTTCATAACCGCTCAAGGTTATGATTCTCATTTTATTATTAAGGACATTGCAAAATCTAATCGAGTTGTTTTGCTTCCATTAAATAAGCAAAAATATATTTCATTCACTATCCGAAACAATGTATCCGATATTGCGTTCCGTTTCATAGATTCCTTTAGATTTTTGGATGCATCTTTGGATAAACTTGTTAATTTGTTAGATATCGGAGCTTTACAGATATTAAAAAAAGAGTTTGGACACTTGAACGATGAAAAGTTTGAGTTGCTAACAAAAAAAGGTGTATTTCCATACGATTATGTTGACTCATGGCAAAAGTTGAATGAAACAGAACTACCTACACATGAACTATTTTACAATAGACTAAATGACTCAAACGTTAGCAATAACGAGTACCAACGTGCTAAAGATGTGTGGACCAATTTCGAAATTCAGAACATCGGACAATATAGTGATCTTTATTTGAAAACAGACATTATTTTATTAGCAGACGTTTTTGAAAATTTTAGACAAACTGCTCATAGGACGCACGGTTTAGATCCTGCATGGTATTATACCCTACCAGGTTATACATTTGATTGTATACTACGCTATACCGGATGTAAGATTGAAATTTTAAAAAATGTTGATATGCTATTATTTGTAGAACGTGGCATACGCGGAGGAATCTCTCAATGTTGTAATAGGTATTCAAAGGCTAATAACAAATATCTACCGGATTATGATAGCTCTGCACCATCAACGTTTATCATTTATTTGGATGTTAATGCATTATACGCATTTGCTATGACTCAGTATCTTCCTTATGCAGGGTTTGCTTGGGTGGAAAATGTTGATACGTTGAATGTACATGATATTGCAGATGATGCAGATATTGGTTACATACTCGAAGTAGACCTTGAGTATCCAAAGTATTTGCACGATGAACATAAAGATTTTCCGCTATGTCCAGAGCATCGAGTACCCCCAGGTTCAAAATTATCAAAATTAATGACAACTCTCTACGATAAAACAAATTACATAATTCATTATAGAAATTTAAAACAAGCTTTAGCACACGGCTTAGTTTTGAAAAACGTACACCGCATTTTGCAATTTAAGCAAGCTGCTTGGATGAAACCTTACGTAGAGATGAATACAAAATTACGTATGCTAGCTACAAATGATTTTGATAAAACCTTGTATAAAGACCTTGTCAACTCCTGTTTCGGAAAATGTATGGAAAATGTTCGAAAGCATCGTCTAGTCCGTATCACTAACAAATGGGAAGGCCGGTATGGTGCAAGGAAACTAATAGCCAGCCCCAATTTTCATAGCAGAGTAGTCTTTGATGATAATCTCGTAGCGATTAAAATGAAAAAAACCGAACTTCTCTTCAACAAGCCCCTATATATTGGAATGACGATTTTGGACATTTCCAAAGTATGCTTATATGACTTTCACTATAATTACATGTTGAAAAAGTTCCCATTAAATACGTGTAAGACCCTGTATATGGACACAGACTCGATGACGTATGAGGTAAAATGTGCAGATTTTTATATAGACGTAATCAAACAAGATTGTTTTCAATATTTTGATACTAGCGATTATCCAACAGATAATGTGTATAACATACCGTTGGTTAATAAAAAGGTTCCGGGAATTATGAAGGATGAATATAAAGGTATACCGTTAACCGAATTCGTTGGTCTCAGATCAAAAATGTACTCTATAAAACGATTAACAACGCCTAAGGAAATAGAAGATATGCGGTTGAGTCTGCTTGAAAGTGGTTGTACTGGAGATACTGCGGAAATTATCATGTCAAATATAGGTGTTACTAAGAAAATCAAAGGTGTCAAAAAATCTGTAGTTGATACGAAAATAACATTTGATTGTTACTTGAACTGTTTGAAAAATTTAGAAGTGCAGTCATTTAATCAGAATTTAATCAGATCTGAGAATCATGATATTTTTTCCATTACGCAGTTGAGAAAAGCTCTCAGTCCATACGATGATAAACGTTATTTAATCAAAAACAGTCATGATACTTTACCTTGGGGACATTATGGCATAGTATCAAACGAAGAAATGTAACATGTACAATTTTATTTTAGGTATGATAAGTCTTAGAGAATTATCACTTAAAAAAGTTGCAGAATGTGTAAAATCAATCGTTACTTTTACTATTGTGTCACCATTACCATGGACACTAACTGTGGAAGTTATCAAGTGCTATGCGAATTTTAAATGGTCAAAAATATTGCTTGAAGCACACGATAATCCTTTAACAGATATTTTAATTATACAAGCAGTGGAGCATACAAGGGAAATACCTAGTGAAACCCATAGGAAGGCACTTTTATGTCAAGCAAATTTTGAAGACATATATATTTTTCCAAAGTATTGTGTTTGGGTTAACATTTGTTACATTCCAGAATATAATTTAAGATTATGTTGGGGCTGCTGTAACGCATTTATGGTAGTATTAGGTCTCAGGAATAAAAAAAGACCCACTGTTCTTCGAGACCATTACCATATGATATTACAGGTTCAAGAAATTCATCGCTTATGCAGATCTACAAATATGTACTGTCAAAATGACTTTTTGGAACTATTGTTTGGTTTGAAAGACGAATATACTTGTGTAAATGACCTACATAACATCGATCATTATAATAATCACCCATATGTTACGAGATTTGTAGATTCTGGTAACGATGATTCCGACATTGACTTTTAAGAATGTATGTAAATGTGCTTGCATATACTGCTAAACATTGACTGTATCATAAAATATATGTAACGAAAATAAAAATACGTTTTGCAATATGTCTGTATGTTTCCTTACCCCTTCCTATAATAAAAAACAAATAAAATTTTCTTACAAAACCGTTTATTTAATCAAAGCTGCTTCATACACAGATAATTTACTAGCTAAATCACTTAAGAGCTTATTTTTATAGTACAGTAAGCATTCTCGTACACAATAACTTTCTATGTTATCATTACATACGTCACAAAAGGATCTTATTACAAGTTCATAATTTCTTTCCTGGGTTTGTAGTACTACGTTACAAACAATCTCTAAAAAGTTTTGATAAAATTGTTGGAAGTTCATTTTATATAAAGCACCTACTTTATATTTGATAATATTTTCATCAATATGGAGTATATCATTTATCACATTATGTGATAGATAAAAGCAGGCCCTACTTGTGGAAACTTTTAAAATTTTACAATCTAAAGTTGACGTTTTGCATATTTTCACATCTTCATCACATTCAATATGTTTAATGTCCTCTTCTTTGGATGTTGTAATGCATGGTACTTCATTGTCCGATAAATAACTGATGTCCAGACATCGTAAGGTGAAAATAAAAAGTTCCCATTCGTCAGCACTGAATGTGATTTGAGTTCCTATTTCTGATTTTTTCATCAATTTTACTGATGGTTCGAAACACCTTGCAATACTCAAACCACAATGGATACTTAACGGACTACAATCAGCAGTTACATAATCTGTACCCAATAAGTAAGGTGTTTTTTCTTGAAGAATTTGGTGTTTGCACTCCTTGTTTATTTTTTCTATTTCAGTCCAATAGTATGTATCAATATCCTTGCAGTAATTCTCAATTTCTGATTGATAGTTTTCACTATCTGATTCTTCATCTTCTATGTCTTTACGGCAGAACATCTTTCTGAATATTGACAGGAAGAGCAAATTAGCACTACTATATATCAATCTATCTCCCCACCACAATTTTTAAATATTATAAACGATTAGATGAGTTTATCCAACTGTTATGAGAACTATCAAAGCCAAGCCATTTCACGTAAACTTTATTATTTTTCTTTCTTAATACCTTCTCAACGAAATAAACATCTGGAATGGATGTTTTTTGTAATTCCTCATTGTAAAATCCCCCCGAAATCGGATTTCCACGTAAATCTTCCAGCAAATACGTTGTAGGATTAGTTATTTGAACTTTTGATATTTTAAATACCTCACTTGTCCAATTCGGCAAATATCCTTGCGCCAAATGCTTTTCTTTGGAGATTCTAACCAAGTTTCCAACTTTCAATTTTCTATTTCCAGCCATTTTGATATGACTGTACACATTATTCAAAATATCATTTTCATTAGTTTTATTAACTTCAGATGGTCTTAAACCAATTGTACGATGCTTATGATTATTATACATATCAACTAAGTCAAATAAAATATCATACCATCGATATGATCCATTAAGAGTAAAATGCTTAAATATTTTTTCTTTCAAAGTTCGTATTAATCGTTCTGCACTGGCTGCCTTTTTTGTACTGAAGGTGCTGTAATGGTTTATATTATATTTTTTTAAAATAAAACTAAAATGTTTGTTATAGTATTCTTTTCCATGATCACTTTGTATATTTTTAGGTACTCTATTTCCGTTGTTTTTGAGAATATCTTCAAATGCTTTACTTACTTCTTCTCCAGTTTTATTCTTAAGTGGTCTAGCCCATACAAGTTTAGAAAAACAATCAATTACTATTAGAATATAACGATTTATTTTTGCATAAGGTTGCATCTCAATTAGATCTGTTTGCCATAAATCATCTAACCCTCGTATTATTGTTCTTCGTGTTCTGAACTTTTTTCGAATAGGCGTGTGTAGTTCGTTCGCAAGCTGAACTTTTTCTGTAGAATGAGTAGCTTTCATGGTGACTATTAGTTAATTACTTTAATTATTCGATACAAATGCGGCCTTATACTACGCTATTTGATTGTTGATTATATTTTTTTTCTAGTATGTTGTATTTAGTTTTCAATTTAGTAAGTTTTCCTTGAATTTCTGAAATTTGTGTAGAAACTTCAGTAAACTTCTTATCTATGTATGCTGATGTGTCTACGTGATTGTTCAACAGTTTCTGTAGATTTAATTCTATATCTTCGTTGGTTAAAAGTCTCAGCGGTTCAACAATCGGCTTAAATACACGTTCCAATACCGTATCTTCTTCACTTCCACCCAGTTTCAATGCTAAATACTTTTTTCTTATTGCCCGTGCAAGTTGTATAATTTTTCTTTTACGTAGCTCTCCTTGATCTATATGTTTAGGAGGCATGTTCAGAAATGGTAGATTTCTGGTAGCATTACAAAGTTATATACATATCAAATCCTTTACGATACCGTCCTTTATTAATATCAAAATCTTTCACAATTACCATACTACCATATTGATCTTTCCAACACTCTGCACACAGATTTTTAAATTTATCAAAGTCCATGTCAACTGTAACATGTTCATTATACACATGTCTCAAATTTACATCGTCCTGTTTGAACAAAATGACCATGTTACAGTTATCTCTTATCAACTGCTTGGGAATCTTCGAGTATGTTTGACATAAGTAAAAATAATCAATATTTTTATGCCGTCCCATGGAAAAATAATCTCTGATCTTATCCTGTTTCGTAGTTGCAACGTCATCAAATACAAAAATTGTATGTTCATTAGCGCACGATGGATCAACTATTTCTGTTTCATTGTCACTAAATGGAAAATATTGTATGCCTTTAACTTTATCAAGAACAATTCTAAGTAGCTGATATTTTGGTTGATATAAGGATTTGGAGTAAATGTATGTTTGAATTTCAAACCGTTTGGATGAAATAAAAGTGATAATACAGCATTGGTCTTTTCAGAACCACTTCCCCCGCAAACTGCGCAACGAATATTATTAGGTAGCAACTTACTGTGTTTGAATTTTAAGGGTACAGGTGTAACGGTGCAATAATCTAAATTTTGTGTGGGTAATAAGATTTGTTGTTTAACGAGACGCATCTTGTCAATGAGTGAATGGTTGTAGACGGATATATATATATATACAGTAGAGATCACTAAACATTAACCTTATTAATTGGTTTGATCTCACACCATCAACACCTATAAAACGTTATAGAGCAGTTTCAACAAATTGTTATCTAACCTACAGTGAAAGCAATGAAGATTAAACGTAACGTAGGTATGGATTCGGGCGCAACTAAGAAAAATGGAATAAAAAAACTCAAGTCCATTTCCTTTTACCGTGATATATTGAAGAAAATAAAGCTACCTCATAGTGACAATGAAGCGGATTTGAATAAATCTGCACTGACTGCGTTACGCGCAGCCCGCGTAGCTATTAAACGTGTCGGTGGGCGACGAAAAGTAAATATTCCTAGAATTATACCGATACCAAAGACAGGTGGCATTTTACCAATTCTACCTATACTGGGAGCATTAGGGGCATTGGGTTCACTTACAGGTGGAGCTGCTGCGGTTGCAAAAACTGCTATCGCCGTTAAGAACGCCAAAAAACAATTGGCAGAAGCAGAGCGACATAACAGAACAATCGAAGCTATTGCACTAGGTAAACGAGGATCTGGCTTGTATCTACATATAAATAAGCATAGTGGTATGGGTTTATTCCTGGAAAAACAATCCTCTGGAAGTGGTTTATACGTCAAAAAACAGAAATCAAAAAACTACCAGTAAAGCTACCCAATAGAGCGCTTTCCGATCATGATATTTTGAGATACGCGAAACTGCTCAACATAAAGCATTTTAAAAATGTATATATGAGGGATACCCTACCGAGCACGAAACCAAAAAATAACGAGTGTGCAATTATCAATCTAGATCTTAGTGCTAATGCTGGTACTCATTGGGTAGCATACAGGAAGATAGGTAAAGTAGTTAATTATTTTGATAGTAGATACCTTGGTACTGGAGTGAAAATACTTTATAATCATCAACCTTACCAAACATTTGATCAGTTCAATTGCGGACATTTGTGTTTAGAATTTTTATATAAAATTCAATGATTCAACAACCTTTGTATCATTATGTCACAGTTAATCACTCTGAGAAGTCGCTCTTCAGTACTATCCATTGATTTTATCAATCCAATTGAACTCGAACCTCACTCACTTTACGGAATTGCTTTGATTGGCTTTCATTCATACAACACAATCCCAAACATAGAAGAAGGTGCCAATAAATTTTATTTCCATAACAAGAAAGACAACAAAGTGAAAACAATAACAATTCCAACAGGTGTATACGAAATAGGTGACATCGAACAGTATCTCAATACTCCTACAGAAACACTGGAAAAAATACCACCGTTTTCACTCAAACCGAACAATAATACTCTCAAGTGCGAATTGTTTAGTAATCAATACGTTATAGATTTCAAGCACGAATATAGTATTGGAAGAATCCTTGGATTTTCAAAAAAGTACTAGATACCGGTATTCTTCATTCGTCCGATCTACCAGTGAAAATAGTTAAAGTGATTACTGTACACATTGACTGTAATATTACAACAGGTTCATTCTATAACAGCAAACCGTCACACGCAATTTTTGAATTTTCCATTGACGTAGATGCTGGTTATGCTATAGACATTCAACCTCGTAACTTGATATATTTACCTGTATCCGAAACACATACTATCAATAACATTAGTTTACGTATATTAGACCAAAACGGAGAGCTTGTTAACTTTAGAGGGGAAGAGATAATTGTTAGACTGGAACTTAAAAAATTAACTTAAAATGGGATTATCTATTACCTCCAATAGTAACACATATAAAAAGAACAAGTTTGCAACTTATGATTCAGCCTTTCATAATCATCTTATGAAGACAAGTCATCCTTCAACTAAAGCACTAACACCTACAAACGTTTTGTTTTTAAAATCTTTGGGATACAATGTTGTCAGTCCATCATATATTCGAAAATTCATCGTTCCACAAC